CTTATATATATATATATATATATATATATTGTTTTCATTTATTCTTGTGTTTTCCACTGTTGTTTGTTTATTTTGTCAAAGCCGGATAAGGGAAGCACGGAGGCTTCTCTGCCGGGTTCTCTACAATTCTGTGCGGGTTTAATGTAGTTACTTTTTCTCTTTTCCTTTTGTTATTGTTGTTGTTTCTGCCCCTCTTGCTTTGTTGCGGTGGGCTGGGGGAGGGGGGGAGACTTGGTGTTTTTGGCCCCTTTACAAGCCCTCTTTGATTTTGGGCACGTTATAGAGTATGACTCACCGCGATGGCGCATCTGGCGCCTCGAACCTATCAGGGGACGTAGAGAAGGTGCCAAACGACCGTACACCACCCGAAGCAAACATAACACGGCCGAAGCTTCCGCCGTTGAGGCTCGTGTGTGAGAACACAGCCACGGAACTTCCTGAAAGTTTCTTGGAAATTTTCCCCGCGATGGTGCGGGACGTTAGTCTTCGTGGTGACATTTGTCTCCCATCCGTTCCTCCGTCGCAGAAGGATGCGCTTTTTGCTCTCGCGGCCACCCATGGCTCTGCGTGTAGTATTGTAGTTGATGGTGAGGGGATGTTTCACTTGCGGAATGGCACTTTCAATCCGCATTTGCAGGGGAAGCTGGCTGAAGAACTGCATTACCTGCAGGGTGAGGGAGAACAAACTCCGGCTGATGCCCCAGTTGTGTTACGCTGGGCTTTTATGGATCGTTGCATACATCGAGAAGTAGTGACACTGTTACAGATCCTTGCTTACGATATGGGCATCTTTTGCGGCGAGCGACTGTTTGATGGGTCGTACATTTACCGCGTGGAGGTTGCCCTAAGGTATCTACCGCACTGGGAGGCGGAGCGACGCAAACTCATTGACCCATCTCTGGAGGGGGATAGCGATCCTTTCCCAATCCCTGCAGCAGCACTACAAAATACCCGGGTTATGGATGTGTATCGGAGTTTTATTCGGCCGTTCTTGTACGATTGGAATTGTAAGACAACACGGTGTGAGGTAGATATTCCACGGGAAGCTTCAGGGCAGGTGCCGAAGGAAGTACGACTTTTGGGCTCTTCATTTTCATTACGGCATGAAGTTAGTGCGTCAGGAATCGTCTTCTTCAGACGTTGGACGCGGCACCTTGTGCAGGTTTTCTCCAAGTATGCGGGTGAGCTCAGGCGACAGGATAGCAAAGGTGTCCAGAAGACACTCGCAAGGTACGGCGGCGACCTCGATCCCGTGGACACGGAGAACATGACCCCGCACTTTGGGCTCTTTATCTGCTGCCTTGAGGCGCGTTACTATAAAACGGATTTGGCAGAGCTAGAAGAGTTTGCCCGCCGGAGTGGCTACTTTGTTTATGTGTCAATGGAGGGCGATCTTGCGATGGTACTGGCGACGGCACGACTGAGACCGGCGTTGGCGGAGAAGTACAAGCCAATTTTTCTCCACGAGGGTGAAGAGGCACGGCGTCTAAGCCAGGCACCGCCTCAAGGAAACGCTGAGCATTTGGGTAGTGCAATCCATCACACCTTATTGCCGCAGCACACACGAACGACGGGTCGTTATTATGATGGCAATGACAAGAAGGTATCACACATGGACCTAATAAGGTCTGGCGAAGGCGGAAGCAGTAGTAGTAGTAGTAGTAGTAGCAACAGCAGCAACAGCAGCAGCACTGGTAGTGGTAGTGACCACGACAGGCGCTTTACCCGGAAACTAAAACTGGACGTTCAAGAAACACGATGGAGTAAGGGAGGGAGTTGTGCTGCCTTGGGGGGTGAACCCGAGCGCTCCGCTCCCAAGGCAGCACAACTTGCAGCTCTGACGTCGTTGACGGGAAATATGAAAGATGACTATTGGTACTCTTCTCTCACAGCGAGTAATCTTTACGGCACAATAGTAGGAGAGAAGCAATGCAATTTACCACCGGGATGGAGTGTGCGCCGTGACTTTTCGGGAAAGCCATGCATCCTTGATCACCTGCGACGTAGAGCGTATCACAGAGACTCGCCTATGGTATCTATGGAGTTTGCAGCAGGGCCGCGAGAGTTGTTTAATGTTGCGGATTCCCTGATGTGAGGCTTTTTTTTTGATTTTTGAGGAATCTTAATGAAGTTGATGTGCTGCGGCCTGCCTGGGGCGGAATGCACTCTTTGCGTTGCGCCGCTTCAGCCGTCGGCACGAGACACGCATATTATAAAATTGGGGAGGCGCTGGGTTGTGAGGAGAACCGTGTAGCTGTCCGCGTCGGTCATTTTTGTTTTTGATTTACGCGTGTATTACATTTGTTCCTCATTGTTGGAGCTTCCTGTAACTTTTTTATTTTCTTTTCGTGAAGTGTTTCGTTCCCTACTTCTCTGAGGTGCGGGCAGTGTGGGGGGCTTTTTGGTTTCTCCTTTGTGGGTTCCGGGTTCCGTGGCCGAATCGTTGTTGTTGTTGTTTGTTTTTTTTTTACCTTAATTTTTATTGGTTTGTACTTTTTCTTCTCTCTCTCTCTCTTCGTGTCCGCCCAGCACTACACCGGCTTGTGCGAACTGCCGTCACCGCTGCGGAGGTAGGAACGGCTTGTGTAAGATCAGTTATAGGCACAGTGATAAGGAGAGGTAAGGTAGAATTGTACTATTATTTAACTCCCTTTATTATTGGGATTAACTGCACACACACACATAGATTGCTAAGTATATATATGGTCACAGATGCTTGAGGATACGACCCCACGCGCGCAGCTCCATCTTCAACGCATACTGAACGAATTTTGGGAAGATCCCAACGGAACCACGGCAAGGGCGAGGTCGGAAACAATCCAAAGCTCCCCACTTCCCTACATGGCTGCAACGAGATGCCCTAATATTGTGGGGTCATCAAGGGCTCGCTGCGTTCAAAGCGCTGATCCACGTGCTCGCCATTTTGCAGTGGGCTTAATGCGGCGGCAAAGAAACTGCAGTAGTGGTCGTGCCGCAACAACAAAGGGAGATGGGTCGCCACCACGTCGCAAACTTGTAAGCGTGCCCACGCATACAAAGCCTATCCCTTACTTTGGCGTTTTGCCGACTTCATCGGAGCGCAGTCTACGTCGTGAGACGCACGTGCGAAGTGCATCTATGCCGATACAACGTCTTGTTCGCGTACCTGGAGGTAAAACGGTGGTGGCGAGGGAACAATTTTTAAGGGAATTGAGGGCAGGAGATGCCGTGGTGGGAGAACATTTTGGCGAATTTACAAAGACTAAAAAAACTCGTTTTCAACAAATAGAGGGTGAGGAGACGTTTTACCGACAGTTTATTTATCAGACAGTTGACGCCTACACCGAGGCGCTCTGGCAGTTTAAGCGCTACAGGGAAGAGGCTGTTAAGCAAGCAAGAGAATTGGCAAACATGGTGGCTCGGTTTGCGTGCGCATCCACTGAAAAAGCTTCTCAGGATTCTGAGGAGAACGTGATCCGCGTCATGAAACCCGCGCCGGATGGATCTCTAATCGTTGAGGAGGCACTGCGTGGCTTGCATCGCATGCCGACCATTTTGTCTGCCAATTACTCTCACCTGATCTCCACTGTCCATGGTTCGTCTGAGGCAGAAGATCCAACGTCTGCCGTCTCTATACCTCCGCCTACTCCGCAGCAGGCAATGCAACAACCACAACACCAACAAAAACAAGAACAACCACAAACTACAACTGTAAATGACGTGAATTTGTTTGTTAATGGGTTATCTTATTTTTCCTCACGTCGTGGAAGTCTGCAAGCGATGGCTTCTCGATCGTGTCACTCACTTAATGGCACTGTTAGTCCCCATGCGGGGTTGTTAATGAGTGAAAGTTTTGGTAGTGTTGATGACGCTCCCTCTGCCTCAGCATCTATAGCGAACATGGTGATGCGTCAGAGAGGACGTGATGCGGACCCAGCGTGGGTGGTGGAGGATCTACAGGAAGAGAATGTGTATTGGCAAGAGGAGGCTCTATGTGCGGTGTTGGAGGCAGAGAAATACTCGCAGATGCTGCACACAGTACTTAGTTTACCTCCCGAAAGTCCTCCTAATGGGAAGAATGATGTTGTACCCAGGCGAATGTCCATAACAGCCATAGGGTCGCCCACTCAGAAGCTCCTTTTGCAACGCCTATTTCTACGACTAATGCTGGAGAAGGAGGAGGGGGAACGATGCAGAATGGAGTCGCAGGAAGCACAAGAATGGTGGACGCTTTGGTTCTCTGCAAGGGATGTCGTGACGCATGTGTCTGACACTTTGAAAGAGAATGGAAATGCCGTCCATAATAATCATCAGAAGAACGGGGGAGTCGGAAATGAAAAGGATTGTAATGAGAATAAAAGTCCCGTAGAGGATGCAAGTTACGCCACGCACAGTCACGGAATAAAACCCTGCTCCAAAAGTGGTAACGCACTCCCTCTTCTGTTCCAGTATTGGAAGACGTGAGTAACTGCGGCAGCGCTGACAGGCACAGCGGCCCTCATGGGAAGAAAAGATGGATTGGGCGGGGGAGGGAATGGTACGGAGGAGCCTCTGGAGGCGGTGTTGTTCCTGGTTCTTCGATCAGCGCAACAACTTGTGGAGGAGCTTGAGATGGCAAACGCCTCTTTGCGTCCATCAGATTTGCAGTGTCACTCTCCGACGATGGGGTACGGTGTGGCTTTGGCGCACACACGAGCATGCGCCGCTACTTTTTTTTAAATGGTTTTTTTATCTTTTTGTTTTCTTTTTTTGTTGTTAATGATCGCATTCCTGTTTGAATTGAGTGTGGAATGTTTCTAATTTTGCAAATGCAGGGTCATTTAGGTTGACGAGTTGTCTTGCGCATTCGCTTCCCCCTCCCTCCCCACTCTCTCAACTGTATGTGTGGCTGGCCAACGGTTCCTGTGACTAATGGACGAAGAATATGGAGATGACAAAAAAGCCGGAGAGTACGTAGAAAATGAAATAAAAGAAAAGAAAAGCTTTTGCTGTTTTTTCACGTGCTGGGAGGGGGAGGCGTTGTGGCTTTGGAAAGGGTGGTAGCTCGGAAAGAATAACGAGATGCGTGCGCGGTCACTGCAACGACAAAAAAGAAAGAGACGGGGTGCCGAACAGGCCCTTCACTGAAGTGTTTCAGGTACGAGGATAGGTGATATGTGTGAGGCAAGACTGGTGTTGCAGTGTGGATAGATGCCCGCTGGCACGTGTGTACGGTGATGCAGCCACAGTTGGCATAGGATCATTTTATACTTGAGGAAAGCGAATAGAAACCAAAAGCAACAACCATAACAAATGGAGCTTGACTGAAAATGTGAAGAGGAAAGCGTGGGTATTTCTTTTGCCCCTTTCAATGCTAATATTATGGACATACATACACGCGCACATATTAACCTGTACCACATGCTCTGCCAGTCCAGTATGCTTCACACGTGATGTGGTGTTTTCTTCCTCCCCAGGAGGCCTTACTTGCTGTGCTTGTTGAAGTTTTTGCTCCCCCCTCCCCCCCTTTTTTTTTTGGAGGTACTGATGGACCGTATTCTTGCGCAAGGAAGAAGTACGGCCATTACTCAGATGTGTCTTTCTTATTTATTGCTTACTCTCGCGTGTATGTGCTTCAGCGAGGGATTAATCGTTGTTTTTGTTGTTTTTACCTTTTGCTACTATTTTTATGGTTTTTTTTTCTTATTATTGCTTCGCTCTCTGCTGCTGCTGCTGCTGCTGCTGTGTGTGTGTGTGTGTGCACGCGCTTTGATAAGGGTCATTCTGTGCCAAACAGAAAATGTTCGTACGTCGATGTGGGAGTAGGTAGCGTCCTCTTCTATGGGGATTTGGGTCTCTTTTTGTTCTCTTCTTGTATTTGATACTTTGTGCTCTTCTGCCAATTTCCCTGCAATGAATAGACACATGATAAGAGAAGGCATTGAAGAACTTTTTTTTTTCTTTTTACACTTACCACCTGCGGTTTGTCATTTGGCGTGGGATGCTCGCGGTACAAATCAACCCTGCAGGAGCAGTGCTAACGGCACTGCTTCTCTGCTCAATTTCCCTCCTCTTATCCATGGGGAATGCCGCTGCCGTGGCGTAGGCAGTAAGCCCTGACCTCGCGGAAATTGTTTTTGCCAGCTGCAACAAACACGACCAGGACCCGGGCTACTTGGACGTAATGGCAGCGACCGTCAAACACAGGGAACACGTCAGAGAGTTGAATAAGTCACCCAGGCTCGACACGGGCGGTTGTGTGGTCATTTCCACTGTTGGTGCACTTGTTTGGTTTGGTGACGCGGCGTTCGGGGACAACTGTAGTTTGCTTCAGGGTTGCTATTCGAGCGACAATTTTAAATTGATCCGCTCAAAGTTTGTAAAGCAACGAAACGCCCCAGAGGATGCTCCATTCCGCCAGACATGCATGCATCACCGCACCACCGCGGCCAACCTTGAAGAGGGAGATGAGAGACAATGTGTTATGGGTGTATGCGACTACCATGACCTGGGCAAGAACGACGGTGGGGCCAAATACGCAGGCAAAGATGTTACACATCAGTTCCTTTTGGACCTCATTGAAGTTGCCAAGAGTGGCCTGCGCAGAAAACAAAAAGGTGTATATTATTTCGAAGCCATTCCATTTTGGGTGTTGGATACAAATTTCCAGGCCGACTATCCGATGTCTACCGCAGTGAAGGAACCGCTGCGTTTGTACGATCATGCTATGCGTTTTCTGCTTTTGGATGTGCGCCACTTTCGCAATCCCGCAAACCCCCATTGTAGTGGTGATATATTGTGTGAGACGCAGTGGAAATAGCTTGAAGAGCATCTCTGCGACGATGTCGCCGGACATAACTTTACGGTCGGTCGGGAGCGGGGTGTGCATTGACAGTCATTGGGAGCGGCATGCTGATGAACATGGATGAGAAGGCGAGCGAGAATGGGAGTACCTTTCAGCGCTCGAGAGAGCACCAATTTTTAATTATTTTTTTCTGTTTTGCCGGTGTGATACCGAGCAAGTAACGTTCGTCGGCGGTGGTGTGCATTTCGGCGAGATTGGAATTGGAACCTCATGTGACGCCATGACGATGCTCGGGTATTTGATTCTTGGGGTCACAAGCTTCGGATTGACACAACTCCGCGGAGTTTTTGGGCGTGACAACCATCTTCGAGATGTGATTCCCCTCTCCGCGTCGCGTGGGCGTTTACGTTGGGCACAACTTTGGTGTCCTGCGGTTGGCGGCGGATCTCGAGGCTCTCCTCGTGTTTTTACGGGGGAAATACAGGGCACGGAGGCAACAAGTAGAGAGCTGTCTTAACTTATCCGTCTCGATTCATGATCTGCTTTGGCACGGAAAGGCAATTCTGCGGTTGACGTTGCCACTAAGTGCTTTTACGCTTCAGGGAGGAGGTGACGCTTTGGCCTGCCGTACGCGGTCCACGGCTGCGGTGGAACCGACCAGTGAGACGCCACCCAAAAGTAATAGAAAAAACGGAGGCTGCATACCTCATTATTATCCCTTTTTAACTCCCATCTCTGCTTTCACGTATACAATGCATTTTCTTTAACGCCATATATGGCCGCTGCGCACACTCTTGCAAATAACAGTAACTGTACTGTGCAGAATACTGCTCTTAGTTGCAACAGCGCTGGTGGCCCTGCTGTGTATAAAACCTTGCATTCCTCGACAGAGAAATGGGAAAAAGGGCAAAGGTTGCCTGATGTTTTGTTGTTGTTGCTGTT